CCGAAAAAAAAAAAAAAGAAAGAAAAAGAAAAAAATGAAAAAAAAAAAACAAAAAAAAAGAAAAAAAAAAAAAAAAAAAAAAAAAAAAAAAAAAAAAAAAAGCCGCGCGTCTGCGTTACGGATTACCATTCCGTGATATGAAAACCAATTCTATAAATTTGTGTGGTCTAATGTATATAAATTTGATATAAATTCGGTTATTACAGCTGTTCTCAAATTTTGGGCACTGATAAAATTTGATCGAATTCGTCCGGTCAAAATTTTATCAGTGTCCCAGAATTTATGAAAACAGCTGTAAAATCCCAAAAAAAAAACATTTACCGTACTTCATTAAAATATAATACAGGAGATATTTGTATTGTTGGGCGGTAAACTTGTACGTAGTACATAAAATTAGTGATCGGAGACCAAGTGTACGGATAAATCAGGGCTTAAACGACACATAGTAAATGCCGGCCATTCAATAAGTGTCGTTTTTGATTCATATTATATTAAGATTTTATTGGCTCAAGAAACAATTGTGCAGTATGATTATGCGTATAATACAAGTACTGTATTAATAAAATATATTTATATACAGTAAAAATGATCTAAACTAAAATATTCATACTAGTAATCGGATTATCAAAAAAGATACTTTAAACAATAGGAAGTGGCGCAGAAAATGGCCACCGTCGTTTTAGCCTGGGATCAGGGCTTAAACGATATTAATTTGCCGGCCATTTACTGCGCCACGGTTATTGTTTAAAGTGTCTTTTTTGATTAATCAAAATTAGTACGTACGTATACGTATAAATTAACAACTTTTGTTATTCATAACGCTAATCGTGCATTGAATTGTTATTTTAGCCAATTAAATTTTATATATATTATTGATCAAGAACGAAACTTATGCATGGCCGGCAAATTACTATGGTCGTTTAAGCCCTGCCTGGATAAATCGATTTACAATAACATTGATTTTCGGTATCACATTGTTTAGTAGTTTTACATCTCGAGTAGTTATAACATTTACCATTGCCCTAGAATTAGATATTTTCGTTTCTTATATTCTTGTCATTTTATCTTAAACACCTCGTCAAAAGTGATAAAAGAGAAGAATTCCCTTTAGTATTAATCGACCATAACATAGTTATTACATAATTCCCGTTACATAACCTCACCTTGGTCACGCCTCTCTTAAGGATATTATCATTCTACACCTCAATATTTACTATCTGTGTAATTTATTATTAAAAAAATTTTAACCCTTTAATATACTACGTAATCGGAATGCAGTAACGAGAACATCAAAAAATTGGCGATTAATTTCTAAATTACTATGTAATCAAAATGCAGAATTACATATAATCAAAATTTTATTAAGTACTTGTAAAAAATAAATTGTTATTAAATTATTAAACTAAATATTAGTTATTGGATGTTTCTCATCCAATAACGAGAAGTATTTTATTTATATAATGATTTGATTATTATTTATTTTTTAATCTCCTAGCTATTTAATAATAATAATAATAATAATAATATACGTATATAGTTTTTTATTTATTATTAAAGTAGTTTTCTTAACTAATACGTAATAATAAAAATTTTAAAATTTAAAATTTGACATTAATTAAAAAATTTTAGTACTACAGTTCTGAAGTGGGAATTCTATTTCTATTCTAGCATATAATTTTTCGATAATTCTAAAATAATTAGACACCCATATATATTCTATAGTTAAATTTTTTTTATTATATATACGTATATAGTAAATATTCCTTTTATGTTTATCTTATTGTTTAAAGAGTTATATTAAAATAGAAACTAATTATGATCTGGTGGTTTAGGTGCATATGGTTTAGATAAGTCACGTATGTATTAAAATCTTCACGTATATGAGCAAGAACGTAAAATTTGAATGTTGAAAAGGTCAAGAAAACAATAATAGTATAGCGTAATCATCAGAAATGTATCATAAATGTTAGAATTAGAACGAGAGTAAAAAATTACTAACAAAAGCTTCTATAAAATTACGATACGTTCTTGCCTTTCCCCTAATAATAATAGAAAAGTACTTATTTTGACTAATAGAATTTTTCTTTTTTATTATTATAATATCTAGATTTAAAAATATTATAATTAAAAAAACGGCAGCATTTTGTAGGCCGAAGCCTTAATTATTAGGTCTTATATTTTAGAAATAAATTTAATTTCTTTAAATTTTATAATAATTTATAATTAAAGTAATCAACATTCCTTCATATCCAGTTATTGAACTTAATTTAGGCTCAATTTCCGAATACTGAACCTAAATTAAGGTCAGTTAAACTGGGAGCTGGATAATTTAAAATTTCATAGAGTAAGGCTTTAAAGCTTTCACTTCGCTCCTCTTAGCTCACAACCAAATAGAAACACATTCAACAGGTTCAATTATTAAAAAATTTCTTTTAATTAATGTATAAAAAATAAATACTCGAAATACAATCAATCGGACGAACAAATTTATTTATGAATAATGAACATTTTATTATATTTAATCTATTGGACATCGGCTCAAAATGAAGAAGATAATAAGGAATGAAAAAGGAAAAATAGTTAATCAGCACCTTATTAAAACAAAGATGTTACAATCGCAAGAGTACAACCTAATAGGTGATAATTCGGTATAATTAGTAAATGAGTTATTGATCAACGAGTTTATACATTATTTTCTCAAAATGTTTGTTAATTTTTAAAATTGATGGTTTGAGTTTATTTAGGGCATTCTCAAGCAGCACCCTCAATTTAAAAGTGATTGAGATGTTGAAAATTTTTATTGTGGATTTAAATTTTAGCCAATCAGAACAGCACTATGATGAAAAAAATTGGTCGTCGATTTTTTCGACTTGCACGATCAATTTTTTTTTAACCAATCAGATAATTCGATAAACTCATCAAGGAAGGTGTTTGAAAACGGCCTTATTCACATCTTACAGATGCTTTTAGAGTTACGATGGAAAGTATAGATCATTCACATCCTAACGCTAAGTAGACTAGAATTGGTCCGCGGTCCTGTAATTCTTAACAAATCCAAATTCCGGACTGAAAAAAAAAAAATAGAGATTCAGATTAATTTTTTGAAGACTGAAGTTATTGATCGGGAATTCTTATCATATGGACTCTGAACCCCGGAAATTAAATTGCTAGAAGATCACGGGACTGAGAATTAATACTAAAGAATCATTTGAGATTTTTCACGACAAATGTTAATGATTCATATCAAGTGCTACTTTGGCAAAATGAACTGCACATTAGTTTATTAATTGATCTAACAAAAGTATGTAATCCATCTTTACAATTAATTGGTTCGCTCTATCATTATGTAAATTTATTATTATTATTATTATTATTTTAACTGATTAATCGATTAGGAGATCCGATTTTAAATCGATTCCCATCACTAGGCCAAAGGCACAATGAAAACGACCAAAATTGAACGTTGGTTCTTTGGAAGGTTTAATAAGCAATACTAGCCAGTCCTTAGAACATTATGAATAGAAAATGACCCATCATTATTATCCAACAAAATAACATATTGGACTGACAAAGCAAGAGATAGTGTTTCAAAAAGGGCAATTCAATAACAGATAGGTTCTATTATTACCACTGGTGGATATATACTGGTCATAGATTTGTCAGATGGCGTAATCTATATATTGGATGCTCGTAATTCTATAGATACATGATATAGAAAGTGAATGATATTGAAAAAGAAGTGAATCGAAAATTAATTATTTCAAAATCATGCAAATTTCTCACACACAGCTCAAGCGATTTCCCTTTGTTGATTTTTTCTAAAATACGGGACGTTGTCTATTTGAAAAAATTTTAATTGAAAAATATATAATATATATACTCGTGTAGTTTACGTAATTATGAATATAATATTGAAGTATAGTTACCAATAACTATTATACAATAACTATATATTAAATTATAATTAAAAAAAAAAACTAAACAGACTTAAAAATTTTTGATAAAATAAAAATTATAATTTTACATTGTTTATATATAAAATATTTAATAATATTAAAGTTTACAAACACTATACATATAAACAACTTAGTAGTAAAATTATTTTTAAATGAATTAACCTTTACTCAATAAAGTAAAATATTTATTATACATTTATTAGTAATTATTTATACGTATTAATTATCGTGAATCGATTACATGTAGCCCTAACCTCAAAAAAAAACAAAATAATTTATGCATAATCACCAAAGTCATCACCTATAACATAAACCAATTGATCTTCGAATTCATCTTTTGGTGATCCTGCTAGTATACCATCAATATTTTCGTTATCAAGATTCTTTTCTTTGATGGAGTCATCTTTATCATTTAGTGGTTTATGTTTACTATCAATTTTTTCAGAGTTTATAGCTGACCAAATAAGATCTTTTGACATTGGAGAGGTCGGAGATGTTGTAGTTGGAGATGTTGTAGGTGATATTGCAGTATTAATATTTGGAGTTTCCAACGTCTCAGATGTTGGAACCGTTCTGTAAGTTCTCTTACGAGCAGCTTTAATGCTAGAAAAATATTAATATAAATTTACTTTAATTACATCATACATTGCTCAAAAAATAAATATCTATTATAAGATAAATACGCTTCGTAGTCGACCAATGAAGAAATCCCTTTGCTTATGTTGGACCAAGCCTGAGAAGTGAGATCAACGGTTTTTTGTCGAGTTTGTTGAATCCTATTTATTAAAAAATTATTATTTAAAAGATAATCAGTATAACACGATTATATAATAATCAAGTGATTAATGCTTACGGCCGAAGATTTGCGACTTCTGAAACGGCCGTTTTGATCTGTGATAACTTTTCTCGAGTTCTGAATTATAAAATCAATAATTTAATTTAACACATTAATAGAAATGCTACCTGTCAAATGAAATTATAGCTTACGCTTCTTTCTCCTTCAAATTATTTATCCCATCAATAACACTATGAATCCCTTTCCCTAATCCATTCATAAACCCTGTCACATCTTCACCATTAATAGAAGTGTTCGAAGGGAACGAAAATATCGAGGATGCAGATGAAATACTTTCAGAATCAACGTCTTTGGATACAACGGTTTGCCATTGTTTTTTTAATAATAGTAATTCTTCTTCGTGACGCTTCAACTCTTCACGGAGTTCCAAGACCTTACGTTCTTTTTGAGCTATGAACTGCAAAAATTCATCACGCTGTTCTGAGGGAGTTGAAGGTGTTATTCGAAGGTTTTTAATTGTGCGTTCTTTCTAATCGTGAAAATTAAGAATCGCGAGAACAGAAAGTTAGAATGAGGAATTGTGATGCGGTATTCGACCTCTTAGTCACTCGTGTAACTCTTTTTCTCAAAGTACACAAAAATAAAAAATAAAGTATTTAAATATCTAAAAGACAAACCTTAACTTCTTCACTATTCTCATCAATATTTGTTTCATCATTTAGTGCCTCTTTCTCATCAACTAACTCTACGTTTTCACCTTCCAGCATATTGAAATGGTTTAGTTGCAAAGCTAATAATAATTTATCGGAAAGACCATCACGCCCCTATCATAATGGGTAATTGGCATTCATTCATATTTATTCACAAGGTGATACACAACTTATGCATGCAACGTAAAAGTTGAATCTAACTTATCTAACTTGCAGAATACGATATTATTAAGGAATGATTTATTATTTTGTGCTGTACACAGCCATGACAATAATATTGACCTTTGGGGAAAAAAACATTCATTATA